ATTGGATCTTAGTGCTGCATTTGACACCATTGACCATAATATTCTTTTACAGATACTTGAGCATCAAATTGGCATTAAAGGAACCGCACTAAGCTGGTTTAAGTCATATTTATCAGATCGCTCGCAGTTTGTACATGTTAACGATGAATCTTCAATAAATACTACAGTAAGTCATGGAGTTCCACAAGGTTCTGTACTTGGACCAATACTATTTACTTTATATATGCTCCCTTTAGGCAACATTATTAGGAATCACTCCATTAACTTTCACTGTTATGCAGATGATACGCAGTTGTATCTATCAATCAAGCCCAATGAAATTAATCAATTATCTAAAGTACAAACATGTCTTAAGGACATAAAATCCTGGATGACCTGCAATTTTCTGATGTTAAACTCAGAAAAAAACGAAATTCTTGTTCTTGGCCCCAAAAACCTTAGAGACTTACTGTCTAAAGATATAGTTACTCTAGATGGCATTAACTTGGCCTCTAGCACCACTGTCAGGAATCTTGGAGTTATCTTTGATCAGGATTTGTCATTTAACTCCCACATAAAGCAGACCTCTAGGACTGCCTTCTTTCATTTACGTAATATTACAAAAATTAGACACATACTATCACAGACAGATGCTGAAAAACTAATCCATGCATTTGTTACTTCAAGGCTGGATTACTGCAACTCTTTATTATCAGGTTGCCCCAATAAGTCCATTAAAACGCTACAATTAATTCAGAACGCTGCAGCACGAGTACTGACAGGAACTAGAAAAAGAGATCACATCTCTCCTGTACTAGCTTCTCTGCATTGGCTCCCTGTAAAATGTACAATAGAATTTAAGATCCTCCTCCTCACCTATAAAGCTCTTCATGGTCAGGCCCCTTCATATCTTAAAGAGCTCATAGTACCCTATTACCCCACTAGAACACTACGTTCTCTGAATGCAGGGCTACTTGTGGTTCCTATAGTCTCTAAAAGTAGAACAGGAGCCAGAGCCTTCAGTTACCAAGCTCCTCTCCTGTGGAACCAGCTTCCAGTTTTGGTTCGGGAGGCAGACACCCTCACCACATTCAAGACTAGGCTTAAGACATTCCTCTTTGATAAAGCTTATAGTTAGGGCTGGATCAGGTGAGTCCTGAACCATCCCGTAGTTATGCTGCTATAGGCCTAGACTACCGGGGGATTTCCCATGGTGCACTGAGCTCCTCCCTTCCTCTCTCTTTCTGCACTCATTCATGTTCCATTAATGCATGTTACTAACTTCACTTCTTCCCCGGAGTTCTTGTGCTTTCTCGTCTCGCAGGTTCTTGTTGATCCTGGTGGAGCCTCCTGCCATGGTCCTGCTAGATTGCCATTGCCAATACTGTTGTTGCTGTGCACCTGTCTGTCTGTCTGTCTCTCGCTCTCTCTCTCTCTCTGTCTCTCTCTCTCTCTCACTCTCACCCCAACTGGTCGAGACAGACGATCACCCACCTAGAGCCGAAGGATCTGTTCTAGGTTTCTGCCTTTTAACAGGCAGTTTTTCCTTGCCCTTGTCGCCAAGTGCTTGCTCATGGTGGTACTGTTTGGTCTCTGTAATTAATGTTTTAAAGAGTTCGGTCTAGACCTGCTCTATTTGAAAAGTGTCCTGAGATAACTTCTGTTATGAATTGGCACTATACAAATAAAATTGAACTGAATTGAATTGAATTGAACTACTTTTTTACTGGGGAAAGGAATAATATTACTGTAATATTATTACTAACGCATTACTGCACAACACTGTGGAGGGCACAGAGTGGGAATGACAGATCAGGTTAGCATCAAAATGATTCTGAGGGTTTCTAAGGTAAAATAGTTGTAAGTAATTAAAAACTTTAATGTAGTTAAAGTTGAGAATTATTAAAACACACCATTGGTCAGCGCAGAATAGGTGTTACTATTGCAGTTTCACCTGGTCTGGTATGACCAGTCAGCTGGTTATGGTGGATAATGTTAGCTGTTAACAACCATTGTGTTGTATTGCTGTATTGCTGCATTACGCACATTACTGACTCAGTTTGCTAACCTTTATGTCTCTCCTCACCTTGTGCTACTGTTACAATAGCCAATAATTTGCTAAGCACTAGTTATTGCATTTAGCATTATCCATTAATTGCCATTTGTAACCGCATTGGCTGCTGTTCAGTTTAGTTACAATTTGGCTGTAAAGATTCAGCATTTAGTTTTGTCTCCGTGAATTACAAATATCAGTACTCTCTATTTAAATGATGAGTGATGAGTCAAAACTATGTAACACTAAGATATTACTGGTCACAATCATATCTTATCTGGAGTTCAAATATGAATCTGGAGTTACAAGAAACCTTACAAAAAACAGTTAGCCCTGTAGCAGCTAATAATGTCATAAATACTAAGCCCTCTGTTCCTCAGAAAACTGAAGATTGAAGAGGTACTGAAAGAAGAAAAATCAAATTCTTTCTTTTACAAATGAAACATTAAATTAATAGATAATAAAATGTACTCTTGCTCAAAATAATGTAATGGGGTTTCAAGGATTTTACAACCTTATTTGGTCAGATACATTGTTACACCTTGTTTTAGTATTTTCCACTGTAAAATTCTCACTAGCTACTGTTAAAAGTTTAAATCTGGTGATACATTTGTACCTAAATGGACTGTACTTATATAGCTCCTTTCTCATCTTTTGACCACTCAATGCGCTGTACACTACATGCCACACTCACCCCATTCACACATTCATACAGTGATGGCAGTGGCTGACATGCAAGGTGCCAACTGCTCACCAGAACGGGAACTAATTATTCATACACACTCATAATTTTGAGGTTCAGTTTCTTGCTCAAGGACATGCAGCAAGAGGAGGGATCGAACCGCTCTACCTCTGAGCCACTAGTTAGTTTCAATATTGCAAACCTTGTGAAGGAGGACTTATTATAAAACTGTTGAATTACAGAAGTGTCCAGTTCCTTGAGTGGTATGTGTGAATAACATATCTTCAAATAACATTCAACAAGTGTACTTTAAATGTTTAAAAATGGTGTATTGCGATTCATCTAATATAATCATGGCCAGTTGTAAGCCTTTGTCTTCAACATTCAGCAGCATGCAGGTCCAGACCTGTTGACATGCTCAGCTTTTCATGTCTGTTTTCTCACATTCTCAGTCTGCTTTGTTCTGTTCAACACTGTGTGCACCCTTTAATGCCCTCATACCATTAACATTGTAGATAAACTGATAGATAAGCTTAGTTTCTGGCTCTACTGGATCCATATATACTGCAGTGAACCTTGAGCATGGGTGTGACCTCAAATGCTCCCAGTGATAAACAGGTTTCACTTCTGACACACCAAGCCCTCACATGTATACTGATGCACTAATCACTCTTCACACACTTCCCAAATTTAACTGCACAGAGCACGCTGTTCATGCAGTTCATCTGTTCATCTTCACCTTCAGTAGTCAGACACCCATGTATCTGTTTTAAAGCGAAAGCAATTAGCTAATTGACCAATTAGTCGTTTTCAAATTTCACCATGGGCTTTAACAGGAAATTGTGTTGTCACTTTTTGGCATCAAATACCAGCCGTGTTTTAATGTCGTAGCTGGTTGAGGCAGAGTTTATTTGAATTACAGGGTTTAGTAGTTAAAAGATCTGATAACTGGTCATCATGTGTTTTGTCTATAAAACTGCAGGCATGCAGAGCAGTACTGAACTACTATTGTAAAAGTAAAAGTCCTGCAATCAAATTCTTACTAAAGTAAAAGTACAAAAGTTGAGCATAGAAATATACTTTAAGTACATGTGCAAAATTTTTTAATAGTATATGTTATATTATTGGATTATAATTTTTGATGGATTATTCATTCAGTCTTCATCACTTTAAAGGGACATTGTGTAGGAATTTCTCCCATCTAGTGGTGAAATTGTATTTTGCATTCAAACGAATAGTGCTCTCTAGTGCCTCGCGTTTTCAAATGCGTATTGCAACTACGGTAGCCGTTATGTACCAAGACGCCTATCTGTCAAGGAGAAAGCAGGCAACTTCAGCGTCCCTTTGAAAGTCTTTCTCCTTCATTAGCTCTTTCCCCCTGGGAAAAGCTACCCCGATGTTTACCCTTGTTTTTTGAATTCACCGGTCATGTTGCCTTTTTAATTCCCTTTTTCGCTTTTTTGGTGATGAGGATTCCTTCTCTTGTGGCTCGGCATAAGTATGATCCTCCATTATTACCTAAAGTGCAGTGCAGACTTTAAAATGTCTCACTGATCTCCTTCTCCATTAAAGCTGGTTTCAGTCACGTGATACTGGGTCTGAACGACAACGCGTTGTGGATTAGCAAGACAGGTAGGCTAGTGCTTTATGTCCCTCTCGGCGATTATAGTTTTTCAAAATGGCGGAACGACATGGAAGCCTCCATGGACTTGCCCGTCCAATGTATATACAGATAAGAAATTCGCTTATGAGGATAAGTCAGAAGATTGGCGGAGGTAATTTTACACCAATGAGGACACATTTATGAATGAAGACATTGATTTTAGCTAGTAAAATACTTTAAACACTACACAATGTCCCTTGAATTTAATTACTTTATCCTTTCCTTATCTTAACATATAATAATAGCTAGGATACATCATCATTTGTAAACTGATTTAGCTTATATTTTCTATTAATAATTTGAATCTGCAAAGTAGGCCCAACTATGGTCATCAAAAATATTAAGTAGTAAAATGGAAACTAAAGCACAAGTAGCCTACCTCAAAATTATACTTAAGCAAGTTACTAACTAAATGTAATACAGTACAAAGTACATACACAGAGTATGTAAAGTAGCCCAGACCTGGTGTATGATGTACTTAGTTACATTATAACGAATAAGAGCTAACTTACCTGAGTAGTTCTGTTATTACTCTAACTTTGTTAGCAGATAGCTAACTAAGTTACTTTAGTTAAGTTTCACAACAACTAACTCGCTTTGCGTGTGTGTATGTGTGTGTTTACCTCGCGAGTCTTGAAGAACATGTTGGGAAGTTGTTCGTGTTAATATGCAGTTCAATCAGAGAAAACTACATCCAACAGGGAAATGTGTTCCCTATTGCAGCTCTGTCCGGTCTCATAAACGTTATTCATTAAAATCAACCAATCATAAATGATCATTTAATATTAACACTAACTGCTCATTGTTTCTCTTCCGCATTTTTCCAGAGTGCCGCACCGTGTTAATGTGCGCGTATGGTCAGGTAAGGTGTGCCGTTGCACCTGGAACCGCTGACGTCACCTTTCACCAAGCCAGGACCAAATAGTGTTGCGTTCAAAATCAATGGGAAATATGAACTTTAAAAAAAAAACCGTACATTTTAACATAAATAGCCTACTATTGGATGTTTTTCAAGTCGGCTTGCTGAGAGGAAATGCTTTGAAAAATACTTAACTCATTATATTTAAAGTAACATTCTAACAGTTTATTGGGTTAGGGTTAGGGTTAGTCATATCAGTGGTGGAAAGCAGAACCATTTGCCTCTAGTGGAAAGTAACTAAATGCATTTACTGTACCCTACTTGAAGTATGAATTTAAGGTACCTGTACTTGAGAATTTCAATTTTCATTTCAATTCCTTAATGGTGCTGAACGGAAAGTGAGGGTGGTATTAATGTACTTCTGAATGTCACATTTTAAAGAAAATAAATCTTTACCTACAATGCAGGTAATTAATCATGAATTAACACATCTTTACTAATGCTTCATCAGTACACAGTTTGAACATTGTAAAGTGTGTCTGCATTTTCTGAATTATGTTTGTACGGCACTGACTAGCTCACAATATGTCACCTTACCATGACTTAGAAAATGTCTGCTCCATTTGCTCAGTGATCGGTCTGTTAACATCAGTCCGTGTTTTTGTCAGCAATGCTACATCTTGGAAGATATACCTGCGCACACCTTGCAGATTATTTGCACTATTAGAAAGCAGCATGTCTGGTTTTAAAGATACAATCCACTTTACATCTTGTTATGTGTCTGTGATCATGACAAAAAACACAAGAAGTTGTATCCCATCTGACCCGAATGCAGCACAAGGTCAAAGGCCTCTCCATCATTTCCCTATGTCCACGAGCAGATAAATGAGACAACTTTGCTGTCAGTTATCAGTCATTATCGTCTGAAGCTGCAATGCAAAACTCCACCAGCCATTTAGTTCAAATGCAATAACTGAACAGTGTGAACATTCAGGGGCTGCTCAGAGATATGCAAACAGTGACTGTTAAACACTCCCTGAAGGAGCCACTTAAATAAAACGGATGTCATGAAAATTGTTATCAAAAACACAAGTTGTATAGCAAAATAATCGTTTGCACGTCCTTCTGACATCACCTGCTTTACACCTAAACCTTGCACTACAGAGCTGTTTTTCTTTGAGTGGGCATGTTAATGTTGTGCACACATCTCACAATCTCATCACATAATGTGAAATGTAAATATTTAACATTTTTATTCATTTTCAATGAGTCTAATTTTTCAGGTTTGTGCCAAATTACCAAGCTTCTGACAAATAACACAAATCAATGTTTTTATTGGAGTAAGGGAAGGCTATTCCAAACACAGAACATACAACAAAAACTTCTAATCAAATATGGATAAAGACCAACATCTAATTTCCCTCCCCAGTTTAAGCAGCTGCGTGTTAACATCTGCTGTTGATATTTTTGATTCACATGAATATTAAGTCTCAGATTCTTAATAACACCACCAAACATGTCAATGTCTTGTGACTAGTGATTTGGAACCGAGGTTTCCTAAACCCCACCACTCTCAGTTACATTTGCTTACCTATCAATTCTTTCATTTTTGGCACATACACAGTGTAATGATAATGATGGCAGATTTACCATCATCTATCTGAGGACCATTCATGTTACCTCCTGAAATACAAACCATTACTGTAAGCTAGGTAATTAAGCTAATATTAGCTCAATGAATAGATCTCAATAGATCTCTTTAATAAATTATTAGTTACCATTAATCATTAGTTAAACTAGCAATGTGTTTTTGAGGCATCTCTCTGACAACAGCAATCCATCAACATGTGGAGGAATTCTCCTTCATAGTAACTGTTACTCAGCTGATTGGACAATCACTCTTTAGCAGGATCAGTGATTTTCCTAGTATTTTTTTCAACTCCAGAGCCTACTTCTGTCCAACATAATGTAGCTTACTGGTAGCCTGAAGTTGCACTTTTCAACTTGACACCTTGGTCAGTGCTGGAGTTGCAGATTATGAAGAAACATAAGTGGATTTCCCCCCAAATATGGTGGGAAAGGAAGTTTTAAATTCAAAATCGACTTGAATCAGGATCTTTAAATCAAAAGCCAAATTGAATCGTTGACTTGGAGAATCACTGCCCTCTTGCAGTAATGTACAGGTGAACCCTAGGACATTGTTACATCACTAGTGGGTGTGCTTACAGCTACTGTATAACATAGCACATGTATGATCACAGTCATCAGTGAAGCTGGGTATGGTCAGAGCTGAAACAGGCTTTAAAATTTCAACCAGAGAGGACAGCTTTTCAGCCTTCTGTTAAATTAGTCTTAAAGAGCTTGAGGTTTGGCGACACAGCTACAAACACTTTACTGAGAACAGTAAAGTTAGCAAATTTGATTGGAAAACATCATGACATGTACTCTGTGTGAGACAGTGATGAGGTGACAGACAGTTGTGTCATGGTCAGTTGAGCCCTTGCCCTGAGCTCTTCCTGTAATTCTTACGATTGGTCTTCCTGAAAGAGGTAAAGCCAAGGTTGGCCTCTTCTATCTTCTCCTCTTCCTGGTCACCTTTTTCTTTCTGCGCCCTTTTCTTCTTCTCTGGTTGTTCTACAGCTCCCCCCATGTATTTTTCCTCCACTCTTTGCTCAGCCTTTTCTACACTCTGGTCTGTTCTCTTTCCACCAGCCTTGTGTTTCTCTCTGCCCTCCTCCTCCTCCTCCTCCAGATGATTAAGGCGTGTCTCCTTCTCTTTGCTTCTCACAGCTGACAGCTGATCAGCAGGTTGTTCCTTCAGTTGCCCACTGGGTCTGGAGAAGATCATCTTCTGCTGGATGTTACAACAGGGATCACTCTGTCTCTCCTGCTGCTCTTTCCTCTGTTGCAGACTGGAAAGGAAGTGGTGAGCCACCCTGCTGTTGCTCTGATCGCTGGTCTCGCTCAGATCCTCCAGACTATAGTGGGTCCAGCGCTCAGGGTGCACCAGGTAGTCTGGGGTTCCTCTCTTCTTTGCTGGTGTGGGGCATCTGAATGGAGGCTGGCTTGTCTTCCTGCTTGGATGTAGAGGAAGAGACCAAGCAAACGCTCCGTCTGTGACGTTATCCTGCTTCAAAGAGGAGGAGGCCAGCTGGGCAGCACTGTCCAGGCAGTCAAAGATGCTGTGGCTACGGTTTGAGAAAGCTGTGCCCCCTCCTCTCAGACTGAATGAACTCTGAGCCTGGCGTCCCACAGGTGGAGCAGAGATGCCAACTTCCCAGTCGTCATCATCATCGTCATCGTGGTCCAACTCTGGGTCAAAGGGAGCACTGCTAGGGTGTTCTTCGGGCTCAGATTCATCACTGGCTGACAGTTCATCCACATAATCACCCTTGTCCCCATCATTTTTCAGATCACACATCTTAACACCAAGACTCAGCTTGGCTAAATCACAAACCTGGTGAGGGTGAGAGAAAAAGAGGTCAGAACTCCAGCAAAACCTGTGATATACTACACTGGGAGAATAACATGTACATCCATACACATATACACACACACACACACACTTTTACATATATGTTTACATATACACATATATACATAAACATTTATATATATTGTATATATACATATATTCACTATATCAACTTGATATATATATATATATATGAAAAATCTGAAATAACCTTACTGTGATTTTATTTAAGAGCAAGCAAAACGCGTTGTTTTGCTTGCAGCTTCCTCAGGTTCGCTCAGCAAAATTGTATGAGCGTCTACCAGCACCTGACTGTTGTTGGCAGTAGAGGTGGGCGATATATATAATTTGCGATTATATCGTCATTGTTGTTTTGACGATGTGCAAATTTCCATTAGCGAGTATTTAAATTACTTTTTACTTAAAAATATTGAAACGCACACGGAAACTCCTCACATCCAATTAATACATGGTGCAGCAACGCTCTCTACAGCATGGCATGATTCAGTCACACGACTAGTGAACCGACGTGATCACATGACGTGATCACATGACCTCTCGCTAGCATCCTCCTTGCAACAGTTTAGCAGCGCATTATGATGGTAGAGAGAATATGCAAGCACCTCTAGTCCCTGAAGCTAGTGCCGAGACGTGGGTCTACCTCTCTAGCATGGAAATGGTTTAGTTTCGAAAAGACTTTTTTAGCGCAGCGCTCAGAGCACTTCAAGTCGAAATCTGTTTAACTTTTAACACCGCTGGGCGCTCGGAAAATGAGTTTTTGAGCTCTCTCAGCGCTAAAAACGCGTTCGGTGGACACAAGCCCTAACTCAGACAATTCCAATCACATTTTAAAGGATATCGACTGATTATCGTTTTCGCCAAAATCCCCAAAAGTAACGAGATATTATTTTTTGCCCATATCGCCCACCCCTAGTTGGCAGTGTATGGGGATTGTTGTTTACAGTATATATATAGTAATTTTTTTTTTTAACTGTTTGACAGGAGACACAAAATCTCTATTGTGCGGGCGTGAACGGTCAATGTTTGCAGGAGCGGGAATGAGTGGACCACAATAACACAGAATAAGAGTAAAATATAGACACATCTACGCAACACATTATTTTAATAAAACAAAAAATAATTAGCATTATTATTCATATATTTTTGCCAGTTGTCCTTCCTGCATGCAGAAGTAAATATGCTGCTTTTAGCCTGGATAAAGTGTTTATCTTCATCTTTGTATTTCACTTCACTTCTTATTTCTCTATTATTATAGTTTGTTCTTCATTTCTAAAATATGCCGCTCTGCTGCGCTTTGTCCATGTTTGTGATTGGTCATATGCAAACACCGCCCCTTTCATGTGATCGTGCTCACAACTGGATTGGGAAAACCTGCATTTGAAAAGTAAAGTATAACTAGAAGGACAAAGTGAAATTAGTCTATCATTGGGTTTGACTCAGGTTCTTAAGGAAGCAGGCTCACTTTAACCAGATAGATCACGATACCATGGTATCTATGCTACATGGCTAACCTGTAATGGAGCAGGTTACCTTCAGAGGACAGCCCCTGACCAATCCGATCATCCAGTTGAGCGTCCATGTGGTCTTTCTTGGTCTGCAGACTCACTGGCTCTTTATGAAACTGACGAAGCAAACTCCTCGCCTACTACCACTTACTTAAACTAGCCGTTTCCCTGAGCTTTTCCAAATTAAAATGTGAATGTGTGAAATGTAACGTCACGACTTATCAGATAGCAATTTGTTAGCATGCTACTTCTAATGGATGTGAAGAGCGTTTGTTCCTTTAAACCACATATCTTGGCAGACAGTAATACACACTACTATACACTACACACTCCTAAACTTTATGTTTAAACGGTTATTACTTTTGGGTTCATTTACCTCTGTTGTTGCTCATAGACTGTGTAGCGCTACTGCCAAATAATAATAATAATATTCTTCTTCTTCTTCTTCTTCTTCTTCTTCTTCTTCTTCTTCTGTGTATTTATGGTGCGTTCGTTTTGTCTTGTAATCGCGACTTGCAGCTCGAGATGAACGCTGATTGGTCAGTGAAGGACTGATTACGACCAGAGATCTCGCTTGGTGGCATCGTGGCATCCGAAGCGGGAATATGAATATATTTCTGCTTGGTGTTTTAAAACAGCAAAACAAAAACTCTTTCTAGCACGTGTATTGGCAGGGAGAGCCTAACCTGTGTCAGCTGTGTTGTCGATGCCTCCAGAGAAAAGGAAGTGCAGAGCGCGGAAGCGCAAAGTGACCAGAGAATGTCTTTGAAGTGACTCAAGGCTTGCCGTAAAGCAGTATCTCTGGCCGTACGATGTGTATGACGTCATTTACATTTCAAAAGACTTTTTAAAGCAAATAAGTGACTCTAACACCCAGCAATGTGTAATTTCTTTGCATCCCCTTTCGAATGCAACATTCAAATTACGAGACAAAAAATTATATCCTGAGAAAAGTGGATTTTGAGGGTAGACATTCTCTGCTACTACTACTACTACTACTACTACTTCTTTGTGAATTGCTTGCTCTTAAATTTTGTAATACCCCTTCCATATGTAATATACCTATAAAAGACTCACTTACTTACTTAGGCACTGTCATTACTAAAGATAAGGAAGCCAGATGCAATTTAAAATTTAACTTAATTATTGATAAAACCCAGAAAAAATTTAATCAATGGCTGCAGAGAGATTTGTCATTGAGAGGCAGAATTTTGCTAACCAAAGCTGAGGGACTATCCCATCTTACATATGCTGCTTTATCTCTTGATGTTAATAAAAAGGTCTCAAAAAAACATTGATAAGATGCTATTTAACTTTGTATGGCGTAACAAAAACCATTACATTAAAAAATCTGTAATAATGAATTCATATGATAAGGGTGGTCTTAACTTTTTAGACTTTCATACTTTTAATAATACATTCAAAATTAATTGGCTAAAACAATTCATCAAGAACCGCTCTTCAATTTGGAACTTCATACCAAACTTTATTTTCTCTAAATTAGGAGGCCTAAATTTCCTTTTATTTTGTAATTACAATATTGAAAAAATCCTAAAACTATCTAACTTTCACAAACAGATGCTTCTTTCCTGGTCATTAATCTATAAACATAATTTTTCCCCGCATAGATACTACATTTGGAACAATAAAGACATTATATATAGAAACAAATCCTTATTTTACCCCTATTGGTTTATTCACAATATACTTAGTTCTTCAGTTATTTAACTCAAACAGATCATTACTTACATATCAAGAATTGATCCTAAAATATAGAATCCCTATTCCTACTAGCGAATTTAATATTGTTATAAATGCGATTCCTCCTGGATTAATCATAGTATTTAAAAGTACATTAGGACAAAATCCAACATTATTGCCCTTTGATCCAACCAAACTTGAAATTGGCCAAATTTGTTTCTCCTCAACACGCAAGAGTAACCGTAATATACACTCTTTATTTCTGAAAGAAGTCGTATCAACTCCATATATAATAACTTATTGGAACAACTTTATTAATAACCTTAACTGGAAAAAGATCTGGAACTTACCTACTAGATATATAATTAATAATAATGTAAAAGAGGTATCTTTTAAAATAATTCAGAGTTTCCCATGTAAAGTTTTTGTTTACAACGATTTAAAAAAGATATAGATTTAAACTGCTCTTTCTGTGTAGGACACCCTGAAGATGTTTTTCATTTATTTTGGTCTTGCCTTTCTCAACCAAAATATGGGAAGATATTTGCAACCTGATTTCTTTTTCGTTTGAACCTCATTTTTCTCTGTGCTTTGAACATATATTGTTTGGCTTCACTAATAATCTTTCTGCAAAAGAAAAACAATACTATATCATCAATCTTATTATACAGTTAGACAAATGGCATATTCATAAATGTCGTTACACTAATTAAAAACCTCTCTTTCTTATCTTTGAAAATGAAGCCAAACAATATATCAAGTCTATTAAAAAATCCATTAACATGAAAGCTATAAAAACTTTGAATTTAGGTACACTTTACAATGTTTTTGTATGAAAGCTTGCCTCTGTATTGTTGTAACCCCCTGGCGGCGTTTTGTTGATGTATTGTTTTGTATTGCACCATGTTGACTTAATAAAGTTTCTGGGGAAAAAAACTTCTTCTTCTTCTTATAGGATTTCGGCAGTGTAGACGCTGTTAAGCGTATTACTGCCCTCCACAGGTCAGATTTAGATGTATATTCTCACATACAATCCTGTAGGGGAGAGTGGGGTAAATTGAGCCAAAGGGTAAATTGAGCCACCCCTTGTTGCTAGGAAATGGTAAAAAACATTGATCATGTGATCAAATATTTAGGAGGAAGGCATCATTTCATGGAGTCTGTGAATGTAAGAACAACATGGGTAAAGTGGTTAGATATCTATTTCCAAAGAAACATTTTTCACTCTTGAAAGTGAATTAGTCTATCATATGTTTCATGAGAATTGTGTTTAGACCAAAATAGATAATTTAAAATTTGTTCTATACATCAATTGTGGTATCTATGAGCTACAACATGAGGTCATAAACCTAGCATAACAGTGCACCATTTTAGCTGTGGGGACTAATAAAGTCAAAATGGTAGCTCAGGGGTAAGTTGAGCCGGTGGCTACAGCCAAAATACACTCAATAAGTGTATCCAAAAACATGTTCTGTGTATATTCCAAAAACACAGCTGTTAATGTTCTCTTCCTAAGCGCACTTTAAGGCATTCTCACTTGTTTTCTTCCTAAGCGCACTTTAAGGCATTCTCATGTTAAAATGTTTTTTTCACACAACAGCTGTTTAGCAGTAATATGCAATAATAATAACAATTAAAGCTGCAAGCAGCGTTGGGCGGGACCTCGCACTCCACGCAACTCGGGGCGTGCTGCGGCCGCGTCGCGCGCCGTTGTTACGCGTGCGGAAACAAAACATGAAATTTCACATAAATCAGCTCAAAACTGCCACGCAGCGCTTACTTCCTGTTGCCGGTAGGTGGTGCTATCACTATGTCTTAATATTATCATGTAGAAAAGTTCAGGGCGAGAGTGTTATCAAACACGTGAAGTTTCATTGAGATTGGACCACGTACGCTGAAGTTATGAGGACTGTTCAGGGCAAAACTGTTTCAGAATATATTAAGTTTATTGGAGATTGGACACTGCACACTGAAGTTATGAGCACTATTTTACGGCGAATCTGCTGAAATGGACGAGCTGTCACTGGCACGTGGTTTAACGTACAGTCACAGCTCAAGTTTTCAATCAGTTTGTATGACGACAGAATTCAAAGTGGCCAACTTTGACCTCACGCCACAGACACACCGTTCAACGTACAGTCTAAAATAGCACAACTTTTAATCAGCACCATTTTTTGACTGTACTGACCAATTTTGAAGCAGATCCGATAAATTCCCTAGGAGAAGTTCGTTCAAATACAACGTGAAAAAATCACCGGAAAATCCGCACGGAATTCACTATGGCCAACTTTGAGGGCACGCCACGGACACGCCCTTTAATGTATGCACAAATAGCACAACTTTTAATCAGGACCATTTTTTGACTGTATTGACCAATTTTTAAGTAGATCCGATAAATTCCCTTGGAGGAGTTTGTTCAAATACAACGCGAAAAAATCAATTGAAATTGAAAATTTTAAGGAGCCATTAAGATACATATATACAAACATACATAAAAAACATTACATATACAGGGCCCGAGCTGGGATGCAGTTAGAGGGCGGGACATCCTGTAGTAGTAGTGTTCTCGATTGGCTGCGGCTCTGTAGACCGGGAACATTTTGAAAGTAACTGGGTGTGTGCTGAGTTTGTTTGACAAAAGGTTGTTGCGCCACTGGCTTTTAGGCTAGCCCATTAAAATTGTTTGCGTTTTCAGTTATTCTTTTCAATTCTTCATGGAGCAAGAAGCACAGACTAAGCTGTCGGCTGGAACGAGTGAAACTGGAAAAGAGATGACAGACATCGTAGTGGATGATTTTGAGTCCTACATTAACCTTAAACTCGACATGGAAAAGAACAACGGGATTTCTGAAGTGGGACATAGTGTGTCCGCTGTAACTCAAGGTCTGTGTTATGGTTTGTCTTGTTCATTGTTAAAATAGTTTAGGGGTAGCTCATGTCGATGTGTTGCTAACTTGGTTAGCTTTACTAGTTAGCTTCGGCTACATTCAGCTGTTGGGAACATTGTCAAAATCAACTTCTTGTGTGTGAATGTGAATGAATGCGTTAGTTTCTGTTCGATGAGCTTTGCCATCACTGAGTGAATGTGTGTGAAAGGGTGAAAGTAACACGCAAGTACAGGTCCATTTACCATTTACCTTTCTTGTTTTTCCATTTGTGGTTTAGTGTGCGTTTAAAATTGATTATCAGAAGAGTTGCCAATTCATTTTCTGTCAGTTAACCAACTGATTAATTGTTTCAGCTCTAGTTTCTGCTCACACAGTGATGTGCAGTTTGAACTTCCCTGTGACATTAACTAAAATAAGATTTTCCTTTATTGATCCCCTGTAGGGGAAATTAGGATTGGCTCAGAAGCACAGGGGAATGTAGTGGAGAGAATAAATAAAAGAGAATATAATATTATAAAACTGGAATCTGGGATGGTTTGAGCTACTAATTTAAGCTCTCATTGTCTGATTGGAGTGTGTGTATGTTAGCTCTTATATATATTTTATTTTTGTCTCCTCTTCTTCTTTCCCTCAGTTTAGGCTGAGGTGTCAACCGGATTATCTTCTCTTTCATGAACTCCACCTGAGAGCAGTGAAATTGAAGCCTGAAGTACTTGTTGAGTACTGCAGTGGCGACATGACTTAAGATAAATAAAAGGATAAACACATTTTTAAGTGTGCACATTAGATATACAATTCCAGTGTCAGCCTGGTTCCCGTTCCATACAGAACTGGATTAGAATTGAATATTTTAGATATAACTAAATATTGTTTCTAAAGCAGAAACAGTGATGTGTACAACAGCAAAGTCACTATTTAACCTTAATAATATCTCACTGGAAACAAATCTCAACTGTCAATAAAGTGAATAATATTCCTGAAATCAAAATACTGAGTGAAGTTTATAATGAAAACCACAGACGTCACTCAGTATCATTCATTAATATTGTCCCCTGCCCTCCTGATGTGATTTACTTTGTGGTAACGCCTGGCAGATACGCTAGAGATGGAGGGGTGGCTGGTTTGTCAAAGCTAACCAAACTAAGCTGACCAGATAATAAAGGCCCGGCAACCCGACCCAATGTTTCAAACGTTTTGATGTCCCGGCTTACAAACTTTACAGCTAACTGTAGCGTCTTTTTTCTACTGTTTATGTGGTTTGAGTGTTGGTGCAGCACCTGGGCTTCTGCTGCAGCTGTATGTTTTCTCAGAGAAGATGTACAAGCTTGTGGCTATTTAGTTCATTTTTACCCATGCAGGTACCTGCAGGTACTAGACTATGACCCTTAGTCACTGTTCTTATTGTGACCTCAGCACATCAAAAAGCACCATACTACTATTTGGCGCTTTCTGTCTATGTTTCTGCATAAGAGACATCTGTGTTATATGTAATGAGAGATGTGATGACACATTCACAGTGTCAAATGAAGATGAAGGGAAAAGTCAGAATCAGAGAGAATTTTTTAGCGACAGGTGGCTTCTGAATGATGCAGCCAGGAGCCCAGAGATCCTGGCTAAAATATGAAGCTAAAAAACCATGATGCTGTTTTAGAGCCAGTAAACTGTATTTTTGGATGGTCATTTTTCTTGGCCAATGAGCCAAAAAGTTCATTTTGGGCCCTAGCTCATGAACACACATACACCTGCAGTGACTGAAATTATATGAATTATTCAGAACAACACAGCGTTGAAAATAGCATGATTAAGTTGTTAAATTTATTAAAGAGATGGAAATCTACATTATGATTAGTTGGCATGCATATTATATAACAAACACTTGTACTGGGGTGCAGCAGCTGTTTTCCTTGACTTTCCTAAATTTTCCGTTAACTGCTAACTAATTTGAAACTAGTGAATAATTAAATCAGGTTGCACCATTAAAACGTAAGAAATGTCTTAGCAAGTAAAGATGTTTTATGTATGTATGTACTGTATGTAATGTGTAATTTTGTTGCTAGGAAACTTCTGTTGGCCATCAACCATGTCAACAGGAGGTTACTGTGGCATCACAAACAAGGATAACTTAACAAAATTACAGTTAAGGGAAGATTTGCACTTGCCCAGACTCAGCAAAAGTAAAGAAAAGAGAACCTCTTTCATGAAATGTATGTTTTTCCCAAAAGCTCTGTTTCAGAATGAAGAGGAGGGTGAGGAAGATGAGAGTGATGATGAGGATGATGACAGTGGCACAGACCACTTTAACATTGAAAAGTCAGGGACTCAGCTGCAGAGATGTGAGCGTCATGGAGGTGTGAATTCAAGTCTTCCTGACACCTTTCAGACCAGCCACTTGCTGTTCTATGAGAGGTTCAAGGCGTACCAGGACTACATGCTCGGTAACTAGACTAACTACACAAATGCAATATAATAATAATCCTGAGTTATTACATACCTTACCTTTGTCCTTGTATGTATATTTGGCCAAATATGTGTGTAGGAGACTGTAAGCCTTCTGAAGTGAAGGCCTTCACAGCAGACTACCTGGAGAAGGTGGTGGAGCCATGTGATTGGTTGGCTTT